AAATTATGGTCGGATAATGGCGGTTATCGAACTTGTCCGAGGTTTCATGGTAATTAACCTTGTTGTGAAGTTTGAAGTTAATCCGTTAATAATTACTCGAGATATCGAGCGGACATCGTTTGCCCGCCCGCCCGCTCACGTGATAACATAATACGTCCCCGTCTTCGACAGGCGTATAAAAATGGAAGTCATTTTTGAATATTAATGAATGACTTTTTACATATGGGTCATATCACTATGCCAGCCTTGTCAACAAACACATGTGTGTATGTTTTTCAAATCAGGAAATACTCCAGCTGTTTACGACTGAGATTGTGGTAGAAACAGATCACACGACTTGTGGTTGTTGTGAATGGTATTAATTTCACTCCCGTTTGTTAATTTTCAAAAGTTACAGAAAGACACTCGCTAAAGCTTGTTTCTTTTGTAACTTTTGAAAATTAGCTAACTCGAGTGAAATAAATACCATATTCAACAACCACTCGTTGTGTAACCTCTGTATATCTTATTCTGGTAAACCAGGAAAAACAGATTTCCTCCGTAGTTGAGCATGTTGGTGACAGTGTTTGATGGTAAATAGCATACACCTGCTTGACATCTTTATGATTTAATAATATTATAACTGATGAAGAACCCTTGAAGTCATGCTCTTACTTGGAACCGACTGGAGTTGTTGCCCCTTTTTTGCCCTCTAGGGACTGCAAGTGTTGTTCTAGAGCATCTAGGAGACTGGATGGAGCCTGAAATATATAATGCATGCTTACAGTGAAAAATCAGAGGTTCTATCACAATGTATAACATGTCTGAATTAACTCAAACTTGAGCCAGCAATGAGAAATTGTCATGGAATTTTGAGAATACTGTTTTCATCAGATCCTGTCCTATTTGTTGAAATCAACTCTGCCGCTCAATATCTTATTAAGTCTGTCGGGGGGGAAAAATGCAACTGCAAACAAGAATGAGCTCAATACACTGACAATATATGATAAACCTCATATGGAATTAATGATATTTCATTTAAAATTGGCAGTCACATACAAAGATTGTGTTCTCTATAAAGGGAGGTAAGTGATCCCAGCATTTCAGTAAACACATGACGTAGTCCTATAAATGAACACCTTATATTGGTGTTAGCGTTCATTACACTTGATGTTTTTCAAATAGTATATTAAACAGCACTACATTAATCAGAATTCCATTAACATCACATGCAGGGTGTTCATCAAACAGTTTATATATAGAAAGGTAAACAATGATAACAGGAATATTTGACTTAACCCTTTCACCCCTATGAAACTACTATATAGTAAACTTTACAATGCATTGATATGGATGAGTCCATTATGGTCTACAGTGGTGAAAGGATTTACTCCCGAACTTTCCGTTTTGGTGCAAAATGACATTTTATTGATGCACAGCATGACAATGATTGCTCTTGTTGATCTGGTATTAATTATTTAAGAAGTCCTAAAGATGACATGCAGCATTCTCTATAGGAACAGACAATAAGTTTCATTATTGTAACTTGACATGCTACACTTCAGTAATATATATAATTCAGTTTATCTGACTTGTAGGACCAGAAAACAAGCGCTCAGTTAATCGACTCTCTACTGTATTTTACCAAAACAGTTTTAGTGCATACATTTTGTGAAGTAGTTGACAGTTTTAATCTATAATGATGCAGGCTGTCATCAGTGGCTGTAACTCTGATAAATAACAAGGCAGGTTTCACATTCTATACCAGTTACATGCAAACAACATATTCAAAAGCTAACATGTTTATTTCCAGTAGAATTCAGTATCAACAAATGTATGGAAATCTAGCAAACAACATGGTCTCCTCGGGATCCACACAAACACTTCATCAATAATATGTGCACATTCCATTTGTTAGAATAAGCTAAATGACATATTTCTACAGAGAAAATATTCATTATATATACAAACATGTACACCTACACAGACATCCAGTCACTGACCGTAATCTGAACACATCTATAGAAATCTGTTTTAGAGGTAATGTTTACTTGAATATCTGTAGAAATTTGAGTAGTGTTAATAGAACCATCAAGAGTAGTATAGAGAAAACAGCCCTGGTGTGACAAAAAGTCACTGTATGCAAAGCTGTGGTGGCATACACAAGACTCCAACCTTACCAACGTCTGCCTCGCTTTGGAACAACGTTTGGAAGTTGATTGGCATTTGTGACTCTAGAAAAATAATTTCACATCTAAAAATAGTTGAAGATTTCACGTTTGACTTTTTTCTTGTTTCACCACCTTTTTTTCTAAACATTCATCAATTATTTAAAATCACTGATGTAACAAACCTCTGGTAAAAGAATACCTACCCATTGTTTTCCGTATATCACTCAAAGAACCCCAACATTGAACATGGATACTGATGACAAAACATTGCAAAGGTATATTAAAACTGCAATAGATGAGATTTCACGAAGTTGGAAGCGTAATAGTTGAGACAGATCATGTGACATGTGGTGGAGAAGGATGATAACGAACAGAAAGAAGCAGGGGAGAAGCAGAGAGAATGATGGTGACGCAAAGGACACATAAAAAATACATTCAAATGATTTTCTCCGAGTCAAAAAGTTCATTCAAAAAAAAAAATTAAAATGTTCTGAGGTTTTACCTACATTCGTTACCCTTTCAATTGTAATGTTGGTCAGTAAAAACAACTTTGCCAATCAGTGCTAAGACTGGTTTACTGGCGGACATTTGCATGTTGGAGTCAACAGCATTGTGCATACATATACATGTCAAAACGTTACAAACACAGGGGCACAGAACACTAATAATGATACCCCAAATATCAACCTAGCCTACCATAATATTATTATACGCTAGAGGATCAAAATGTCATGTTATCGACTGAAGGAACAGAATGTCATGTTATCGACTGAAGGAACAAAATGTCATGTTATCGACTGAAGGAACAAAATGTCATGTTATCAACGGGACGTACAAAATGTCATGTTATAGTCCAGAAGATCAGAATGTCACGTTATCGACTGGAGGATCAAAATGTTGTGTTATAGACTGAAGGATCAAAATGTTGTGTTATAGACCGGAGGATAAGAATGTTGTGTTATAGACTGAAGGATCAAAATGTTGTGTTATAGACTGAAGGATCAAAATGTTGTGTTATAGACCTGAGGATAAGAATGTTGTGTTATAGACTGAAGGATAAAAATGTTGTGTTATAGACTGAAGGATCAAAATGTTGTGATATAGACTGAAGGATCAAAATGTAGTGTTATAGACTGAAGGATCAAAATGTAGTGTTATAGACTGGAGGATCAAAATGTTGTGTTATAGACTGAAGGATCCAAATGTTGTGTTCTAGAATGAAGGATCAAAGTGTTGTGTTATAGACTGGAGGTTTAAAATGTTGTGATATAGACTGAAGGATCAAAATGTTGTGTTATAGACTGAAGGATCAAAATGTTGTGTTATACACCGAAGGATCAAAATGTTGTGTTATACACTGAAGAATGATATGTTGTGTTATAGACTGGAGGATCAGAATGTCATGTTGTAGACTGAAGGATCAGAATGTCATGTCGTAGACTGAAGGATCAGAATGTCATGTTGTAGATTGGAGGATCAGAATGTCATGTTCGACTGAAGGATCAGAATGTCATGTTGTAGACTGAATGATCAGAATGTCATGTTGTAGACCGAAAGATCAGAATGTCATGTTGTAGACTGGAGGAACAGAATGTCATGTTCGACTGAAGGATCATAATGTCATGTTGTAGACTGAATGATCAGAATGTCATGTTGTAGACTGAAGGATCAGAATGTCATGTTGTAGACTGAAGGCTCAGAATGTTGTGTTATAGACTGAAGGATCAAAATGTTGTGTTATACACTGAAGGATCAAAATGTCATGTTGTAGACTGAAGGATCAGAATGTCATGTTGTAGACTGAAGGATCAGAATGTCATGTTGTAGACTGAAGGATCAGAATGTCATGTTGTAGACTGAAGGATCAGAATGTCATGTTGTAGACTGAAGGATCAGAATGTCATGTTGTAGACTGAAGGATCAGAATGTTGTGTTATAGACTGAAGGATCAAAAAGTTGTGTTATACAATGAAGGATCAAAATGTGTTGTTATAGACTGAATGATCAGAATGTAGACTGAAGGATCAGAATGTCATGTTGTAGACTGAAGGATCAAAAAGTTGTGTTATACATTGAAGGATCAAAATGTCATGTTGTTATAGATTGAAGGATCAGAATGTCATGTTGTAGACTGAAGGATATATGCTGGACGATCAGAATGCAGTGTTTAAGAATGAGAATTAGAATGTTGTGCTATAGATGGGAGGATCAGAATGACTGGCTAATTCAGTGCTGTGCTGCTCTAACATGGGCATGCATATACAGGGTTAATAGGATTGAGTCCCAGCCATACGCAGCTCACTTAGTGCTGTATGTTACTCAATGGCTGTATGTTACTCAATGTCATGGGTCAATCTCAAGGACATCTGGGTGTCAATAGCAACAAGACAAACTGGAGATCCAGGACATTCAATGCAGAAAAATGTTAAAACAAGCCGAAAGGCAAATAAAATATATCAGTAACATAACAAGGGTTATTATTTATATAATATTAGTAAATAGATGGTGGGCATCAATTTAAATGCTGGAGGCAAAATCACAGCTAGTTATTCAGCTTGGCAGATGCATCAATGCTCACTTTTCTTTCTTTTTATTTTATCTAACTTGATTATAAAGCAAACTGTTAACATGGCTGACAATCTGGTCCGATCGGATTACAATAGACTTACATCATGGGCATTATTCTTCAACCCCTGAAGACAAAACAAAAACACATGCAGAAAAATTGCTAAATGAATATATAACAAAAAGAAATGAAAAGCTTGCATTGTACATAAACCACACAGAAGCACGGCTAGTGAATTGTAGGACAACATGAATGTATACTACAGTTAGTCAATGAATGGTACAATGATGCCATGATGTAATGGAGTTATAAAGAAGGAAAGGGACACGTTTTTTTTTATCTATCTAAACTACTTGGAAATATACTCCATTGACCTATTTATTCCAGTATTATCTTATATATTTGCAAAATTTAAGAACAAAAACTGGATATTTTGTATGACAAGTATACTTATTGGACATAAATTTAAACAAATAATTAAATAATAATTTTTCTTAAATTGATAATTTACAGTTTTCCTACAGCTACCAATAAACAAGTAAGAATCATTGTCAGATAGAACTATGCTAATGTTTAATATCAAATAGGAGAGCACAAACATTCTAAAATGGCTCGTCAAAAGTAGATAACAGTTTTAAAAGTATTGAAAAGATTTGGAAGACAAATGTCATTTAGGAGATGAGAATAGACACTATCTTCACAAAATAAGAGAAATAATTTTTATAAACTCTGCTAAATAAAGACAGTTTTTATAAACTTCAACAAATCAGATTGACAGTTAGAAAAAGCCCAACTGTGAAAGTTATTAATTACCCTTACAGGTTTAGGGAAAGAACAGGCCTGATGCATCCCACTACATGATCATAAGAGTCAACTAATGTGGGGCCCCATTGCAGAATCAGGGGTTTTCTTCCCAAAAGACCAAAACTATCCTGCTGTCCTCACTGCCTTACTTCCTATCTTTTTCATTCCCTATCTTTCCTGTTTACTTTTTAATTCCTATCTTCTTTCTCTTTCCATTGGTGTATCCCAAGGCAACCGTTTTTAAATGACCCTGCCTGTTCCAAGGATATTAAACTCTGATCAAAAACAAAGTTAATCTAGATGCAAAAACATCTTGTTTACAGGAAAATGTTTGCCCAGACAGAACGTCCTGTGCTTTTGAAAAAGATATTGATGGTACAATTAGTATGGGAGGCATTACTCAGATAAACAAGAGGCCCATGGGCCTTCACAGTCCTACAGTATTTATTTTTGTTGTTGAAACATGAAATGGAGATAATGATGTAAATCATCCCTACCAATTTGCGTAAAAAAGTGTTAAGTATAACGTTGTGTTAAGTTTGTCAGGACCATGAGTTGATCATTCCTAGACCAAGTTTCAGTTAAATTGGCCTATTAGAACTTGATTTTAAGTTTGCAATAGTTTTATTTTCAAAATGGTGGCATTGGTGGCCATATTGGATTTTTGATCGGCAAGAAAAAGAAAGAATACTTTGCCAGGACCATGAGTCGATCATTCCTACCAAGTTTCAGTTTAATCGGCCCTGTAGAACTTGACTTTTAAGTTTGAAACGTTTTTTCAAAATGGCGGCCGTGGTGGCCATATTGGATTTCTGATCGACCCTAAAAAATAGCTACACTCTGTCAAGACCATGAGTCGATTATTCCTACCAAGTTCAGTTAAATTGGCCCAGTAGAACTTGACTTTAAATTTAAAATAGTTTTTGAAAATGGCGGCCGTGGTGGATTTCTGATCAACCCGAAAAATAACAACACTTGGTCAGGGAGATATCAGTAAGATTCCAATGAAGTATCAATGAAATCCGTTTGACAGTATTTCAGCTTAAGTTGAAAGTGTAAAATGTTAACGGAAGACGCACAACGCTAGCCGCTAGACCATGGACAAAGACAGATAGCAATAGGTCACTTGAGCTAAAGCTCAGGTGACCTAAAAATGGCTGGTAGTCTGAACAGAGGTGGTCTATAAGATAAGTTTCACAGTAGCTGAACGGAATCAGGAAATCAGTTTCACCGAAAAATGAAATAATTTACATTCTACGAGAAGAATTGTTTGGCTTGCTGATGCAGGAAAGTGAGATGGTGCTTATGCAAGTTAACTTAAAAAGAAGTAACATAATTATGATGTGTATCCTTATAAGCACTGTGTTTGGGTACACTATAGCTCTGATTACAGTGTTAACAAGCAATGACATGTTGGTATCTACTTCAACGAGAACACAATGAAACACAAGTCTATACCAATATTTAAACCGGATCAGTTTCAAATTTTACAATCATTCCTTAACTTAGGAAGTTTGTTAACTTTTCCATAATAAAGCATTAGTTTAGGAGACAAGGAAAAATCAAATTTATGAAAATTGAAAAACCATAGGAATTTCCTTGAGTTGAAGAACATTTGTGAGACTCCAATACAACACACCTATAATGTCAGTATCTGAAAAATTCAGACCGGTTTGGATTTTGACACTTTTTCTATCCAACGTATTTCTTTGATCAAAATGTTGTTAAGAATTACTTTACATATTTTACTTTTAACCTCAAAATTAAATTTAGTGTAAAATAATGAAATGGACAAATAATTTAAAATGTCTCACTAAAATTCCAAGAATTAAAGACTAATCTATGCTAGGAACAGACTGGTTTCAATGTATGGATATCCTGTTGGTTCCACTGGTTCTACCTGTGATTCCAAACGTGCCCTTCCTAGTCCTGTCACAAAACACATTGACAACAACCACGTTTGACTACAGATACATGGTCGAACTGACCAAATAAATACCCACCTTGGCCAGGTCTGGAATATCACCCTTGTCAATACCGACATTCTGAAACAACAAACACCGCATGTTAATACAATTTCAGTATTACTATTCCCGCATGTTAATACAATTTCAGCTTTACTATTCCCCTCATGTTAATACAATTTCAGCTTTACTATCCCCCCATGTTAATACAATTTCAGTTTTACTATTCCCCTCATGTTAATACAATTTCAGTTTTACTATTCCCCTCATGTTAATACAATTTCAGTTTTACTATTCCCGCATGTCAAACATCAAAAGAATTTAAACAGCAGTCTCAATCCAACAAAAGTGCTTTTCAAGATTTAATCTATTATTAAACAGACAATCTGTAATATTTTACTGATAATCTCAACAAAATAAACTACACTTTACACAAGTCAATTAGTGAAATTAGTATCCCCAATTTCCAGGACATGTTATCGCTGTTGTTTATTGTTGAAGTTTGGTATAAACATGCTATTCAACAGAATGAAGAATATTAAGTAAATTATTGTAGGAAGACCTGGCACATGTTTGTTAGAAATGAACAGACAGTCTAATCTTCCACTCCCCACTTTGTTGTGGGGAGAGTTGGGTTGTAATAATATGTGTGGCGAGTCCACTAAAACACTGTAAAAATTGCTGAGATTATCAACATTAGATAAGGCGGTGACATTGACAATAAGTGAGTACAAGGTCATGTGACAGTAACATGCTGAGGGATATCCACACTGTACAACAACCACTATACAGCCGGTGACAACCATTGTGATTACGGCAACAACCATCACGTGTTTACGAGTCTAACCAAATACGCAGAGGTGGCTCAATCACGCAAACAATACTCAACAATACACTAAGGCAGGACACATGGTTTTTTAAGGATTTCTCCCTCACTATTTTAATTTTTCTATGAGTACAGGTGGGTAAAAGGTTTTAACGATAAAAGGAAATAGCTAATTACAATTGAAAATATTAATGTGGTGCAATAAAATTGTGCAAAAATTTTCAAAAATCAAAATTTTCTTATATACATGGCCCAAAATGATATTTAGGATATTTAAGTTACCTCATCTTTCAGGCTTCTGGCCTCCTACAGAAAATTCAAACATATGCTGCAGTTTGTGCTAATAAATAATGCACCAAACATCATTGATTCTGCAGTAATTGCATTTTTGACAGAAAGTATTCTAATCCAAATGGAATATTAAATGTGCACCTGTCAACGATTTACACTATTTCAAATGCATTTGTGCATCTTAGCTTTCTCTTTTAGCAAATGCATGATGATAAACTGCAACAAGAGTATGGCAGGGCAGAACAATATATGCCAGTCCCATGTCTATCTGACATACTTAGAATCCTTCTGATGCATTATTGTATCTAAATGTATGAAAATGTAAGGAGAACATTTGTTCTGTATTACTCATTAAAGTTGAAAACTACTTCTGAAATGTGGTGAAAGGAGAAAAGTTTACTTGACCAACTTTAGCTTAAGGAATATATATATTTCATGTTTCTTTTTAACCTTAAAAATATTGATTTTTCATAAGAATTGTCTCCCTTTGAATATATTTCAAACCATGAAAATGAAAATTGAAATTGCCCCTTTTTGCCAATAATTGATTTATCCGCCACCCATTAAAATCAAAGGTATTTCTATTGTTTATTAATTAATGGCAAATTTTCACTATTAGACAAAGTAAAAAACAAATATTAGAATCCTAGCTGTCATGTGTGACTAGGTTTTTGTGTGGAAACAGACGACCAATCAGATGGCAGTATGCTAATACAAATTATGTACAGGTTTGGTCACCTCTAAGCTTAGCCGTTGTCATTGTACAGTATAATATCAATTTTGACCAAGTTTCACCAGAATCCAGTCTTATTTAACAAAGTGATTGTGCAGAAACCGTCAACCAATCAGAGCACAATACCTATTAATTATATGCAGGTTTTGCTAAAGTTCAAGCTTAGCCTCAGTTTTCATATCATGTACACCAAGTTTCATCCAAATTGAATGATACTTAAGCAAGTTTTCTTGCAGAAACTAAAGTTTGAAATTGACTAATCAGAGCACAGAATGCAAATGAATTATGCACAGATTTGACTAAAGCTCAAACAAAACCTCAGTTTTCGGATATTTTGTCAAGGTAAAGCTAGCTATACATTTTCATCACTTATTTTTCATCGAAGTCCACATGATAAAATAACGTGATTTAAACTAACAATGGTCAAATCTCATCACAATAGGTACCCTGGTACTTTTGATTGGTCTAAGAGAAAGGTATGAAAACACGTAATTAAAGGACACTGGTCCTTCATAGTACTTGGTGGAATGCCAGTACAGTTTATCAGGTAAAACACCTGGACACTGTTCCTTCATAGTACTAGGTGGAATGCCAGTACAGTTTATCAGGTAAAACACCTGGACACTGGTCCTTCATAGTACTAGGTGGAATGCCAGTACAGTTTATCAGATAAACACCTGGACACTGGTCCTTCATAGTACTAGGTGAGATCCCAGTAACAGGTCTAATCCCAGTACAGTTTATCAGGTAAAAGACACATTCAAGAGACCTGATCCAAGACCTTAATGACAGACACAATAAAACTAACCAAACATGGACAGGTGTGTAAATCTATGATAAAACAGTATAGAAGCGTTGAGAGTAAACACAAAGAAGCAACAGCATACTAATCTGTGTGATGTTGTATGTTGGGGATACTCTGTCCAGACACACTGTACAAAGCCTGGTTAACTTACAACAATCTTTTTTTCGTCCCTTAGTTTTATAGTTTGAATTTGAAACAAAACTGAGTGTTAGGCTAACCAGGCCGGTAAAGTGCGAGCCAGACAAGTGCCAGGTTATTGGTATACAGCTTTAAGCATTGATTTTGAAGCTTCACCTATTATCAGGTCCGGTGATTTGAGTAAAACTTACTTCTGCTACTTTGAGGAATTCAGACACTTTGTCCATTCTGACGAGGAATTTCTTGTAGCCATCTAATGCATCCTTACACTGCTTTTTATTCATATCAAAATATTTTTCTGAAAAAGAACACAAAATTTTATATTTAATTTTGCAGTATCAATTTTTTTTTTTTTTTACTCCAATATGTTTAAATTTGACAAAATTTATATTGCCTTGTTAACACTGTATAATTTCTATTGTAAAAGCAGTATATGTTTCCTTGTTACCAGTGCATATGTATGCAGTGAGGAAACAGACAATAAAAGGATGGAGATATATCAAAGTGACAGACTGCTTAAATAAATACTACCCTCTTGTTTCCTGATAAACTCACTAGTAACAACTCTTGATTTGTTTCCTGGAAAGCTCAACATATCAACGCGTTTTTTGATCTCTGCCTTACTCAACAGTAACATGCTATTGTTTGTTTCTCTTGTACAGTAGCACAATAGTAACATTCATGTTTTGTTCCCAGATAAACTCAATAGCAACATAATATATTTTGTTAACAGATAAACTCAATAGTACCAGACCATGTACTGGTCATAGATAAATTCAATCCAGAGGACTGTTATTATGTTGTACATTGTACTGAGGACTGTTATTATGATGTACATTGTACTGAGGCCTGTTATTATGGTGTACATTGTACAGAGAACTGTTATTCTGTTGTACATTGTACTGAGGACTGTTATTCTGTTGTACATTGACTGTTATTATGGTGTACATTGTACTCAGAACTGTTATTATGATGTACATTGTACTGAAACTGTTATTATGGTGTACATTGTACTGAAGCTGTTATTATGATATACATTGTACTGAGGACTGTTATTCTGTTGTACATTGTACAGAGAACTGTAATTATGATGTACATTGTACTGAGAACTGTTATCATGATGTACATTGTACTGAGAACTGTTAATATGATGTACATTGTACTGAGGACTGTTGTTATGATGTACATTGTACTGAGGACTGTTCTTATGATGTACATTGTACTGAGGACTGTTATTATGATGTACATTGTACTGAAAACTGTTATTATGGTGTACATTGTACTGAAGCTGTTATTATGATGTACATTGTACTGAGGACTGTTATTATGATGTAAATTGTACTGAGGACTGTTATAATGTTGTACATTGTACAGAGGACTGTTATTATGATGTACATTGTACTGAGAACTGTTATTAAGATGCACATTGTACAGAGGACTGTTATTATGATGTACATTGTACAGAGAACTGTTATTATGATGTACATTGTACAGAGGACTGTTATTATGATGTACATTGTACACAGAACTGTTATTATGATGTACATTGTACAGAGGACTGTTATTATGATGAACATTGTACAGAGGACTGTTATTATGATGTACATTGTACAGAGAACTGTTATTATGATGTAAATTGTACTGAGTACTGTTATTATGTTGTACATTGTACTGAGAACTGTTATTATGATGTACATTGTACTGATAACTGTTATTATGGTGTACATCGTACAGAAGACTTATTATGATGTACATTGAACAGAGAACTGTTATTATGATGTACATTGTACAGAGGACTGTTATTATGATGTACATTGTACTAAGAACTGTTATTATGATGTACATTGTACAGAGGACTGTTATTATGATGAACATTGTACAGAGGACTGTTATTATGATGTACATTGTACTGAGGACTGTTATTATGATGTACATTGTACAGAGAAGTGTTATTATGGTGTACATCATACAGAGAACTGTTATTATGATGTAAATTGTACTGAGGACTGTTATTCTGTTGTACATTGTACAGAGAACTGTAATTATGATGTACATTGTACTGAGGACTGTTATTCTGTTGTACATTGTACTGAGGACTGTTATTATGATGTACATTGTACAGAGAA